TTCCAGAGGAGGCAAAACACTCGCAACCACAGGTAATATGTTTCTCATGGTAGTGCATTCATGGCAGTGAGAGAGGCAAATGCCTTTGGTTAAGCAGAGCTATTTATTCTGTCCCTGGAAACGGCTGAAGAACAACAAAAGCCTTCTCAACAAAGAGTAGCGCGACCTGATGCTGCTGCCTATTTTCCTCTGTCTGCGGCGACCATATCCTCCCTCAACATGGGGGCACTACTGGCACACATCGTACTCAAAGAGCCACACAATAGGCACACTCAGCCCAGGGAGAACTTTTCAACTCAAACGCTGTGTAAGAAACCCAACCAAAACAAGGGACACAGCTAAGTTAATCCTTTAAAGTTTCAATTTCACTGTGGGTAAGCTCATGGAAAGAAACAAAAACACTGCCAGTTCTGTTGTTTGGATTTGCAGGACGCAGTGCACACGAATGCCCACTCACATGTACTTAAACTGTACTTTATAGACACACACACACACACACACACACACTTGCCAGAGTACCCACAGTGAACTCTGTCCGCTGACTCGCTACAAGCTTGGGAGGGAGTCCAGCTTTTCAGACTGACAGGGAACAGATTGTGGTGGTCTGGATCTTCTCGAGCTCTTGATTTTCAACCCACAGCACTCTCCTTGTTTACTATGGTGCTGGATTAGGCAATTATTTAGAGCGCACACACACGCACACACACACACACACACACACACACACACACACACACACACACACAATCAATTCAGACATATTCAATTCTAGGAATAGAATTTAGTCTACCTTATTTTCCCCTATAAATATATGTATATATAATGTATAATACATATATATACATATATCAGCTTAGCTTAGCTTACAGATAAGGCTCATAAGTGTTGGAAGGAATTTGGTCATAAATCAAAATATTGGACATATTGAAATTCTGACCTTATGAAGGTGCTACGTGGAACATCAGAGGATCACCAAGGTTATTAAATGCATCTTGAGGAAAACATGACCGTCAGTACCAAATTTCACGGCCATGGCCAATCCATCAAATAGCTGCCGAGAAATCACACAATACCCCATGGTGGCACCAAAGTCAGTAGGATTCATCCTCTCAATTTGTCTACATTTTCTAGCAATTCATCCCACAGTTGTTGAGATATTTCAGTCTGGACTGAAGCATCACTCCCACTGGCGAGGTATTCGTATTTGTGATAAAGGCTTTGTCTGGCAGACCCTGCTTTTTTTTTTTTTTTTTTAAGTATTGGCAGTGCGAGCTGACACTTTAATTTGTCAGTATTATGAGTTCTGTGGGAAAGACTGAGGATTTTGAATGAAGAGAGAGGCAAATATCTTTTTTTGGAACTTGCTGACTTTTCAGTGGAACTCGTTGCCTCCAGGAATATTTTCCAGGGTTTCCTGGAGCCTGGAACAATTAATTAGCCAAAAAGTCAGCTGTCACATCTTTTTATGTGACTGTCGCTTGTTTTTCTCTTTCTCCTCCTGTTCTATCTCTCCTGGCTTTCTGTGTTATGCAACTTTCCTTCTCAGAGGTATGGAGATGTGTGCATGTTTTTGTGCGTGTGTGTGTGTATGTGTGAGAGAGTGTGTGTGTGTGTGTGTGTGTGTGTGTGTGTCCGTGTGTGTTCAACATTGTCATTGCTGTCAGATTTTCATATTGTCTGAAGCTTCCTGATGTAATCGGCCAAATCGTTGTGTGAAAAAAGAGCCTGGAAACAATAGCTGGGGGTCAAACTGGTCGTGGTAAACTGTTTGAAGAACAATGTTATCGGGAGACTTGGTAATAAAATCCCAGTGGTGTGGAAAGGTACAAGCCCTTTGAGTAAAGAGAGGCTTCCGCTATCCCAGACTCACCTGGGCTTTCTATTAGAAGAATGGACCAGCTTGTCACTCATGTCTGCATGAACAATTTTACCTTTGCCATCTGTCAGCCATGATATTCCCTGATGTGACAATTTGTGGCAATCTCTTGACAGTGTGACAGGTTTTATTTCTGCTGCGTTGCAGGTGGATGTCATGAGGGATCAAGACCTGGAAATATCAGCGAGGATAGATCATGTCTCATGCCTATTTTTCTTACCCTGAAAAGCAAAGAAAGTGCAGGTTAGAAAGTCTAATTCTTAAGGCAATGGTCGGCCCCCGACTTCTGGACTGGACTGAAATATCTGAAAAACTGTTGGCAGGGTTCACATGAAACTTTGTACAGACATTAATCATCTCTAGAGGATGAGTCCTATAGTTTTTCCTCTCTGGTCCAACCCAGGGAAAAATGGGTCCTCCTATAATCCATTCGATACACTTTCCATATATACTTTCAGGTATTCACACTCACTGGACAGAAATGATGTTCCTTGTGTTCTAAGATTCTGATCCAAAATCAATTTTGTTTAGTTTTCACTAAAGATGTGGCAATAATGTCCAAAAGATGCAGTATTCATGATTTCTTCCATAACATTCATGAGCTATGTGAGATAGCTTACTTTTACATTTTTATCATTTGTTTGTCTGGAAGTCTCACACTGAGTGTGAAAGTGTGTCTGTGGGTGGAAAACAGGAGAAGAAAAGAGAACACCAATATTATTCCACAGCTGCGGAGTGCACAGTACCTTAGAAAGGAAAAAATCCTTTTCATGGCTATGTCATCCCACAAAGATGCACAAGATGTTAAAATAGAGCCAGCAAGAATACAGCAAACCCATATTTTATGCAGACTCACAAAACACACTGCAGTTTGAGCTCTGGTCTGACACAGTGATATATACACAGCATTGCTATTTCACATACAGTAAGGTATGGATTTCTCTTTGCAGACCATGATACAGATCATTGACTTTTGTACAGCATGATCTTTAGTTGCCACTGGTGTAGCTGTTTCGGCTTATACAACATCATGAAGCCTGTTTTCTGTGGCTGGATCGAGAAAACACTGAGGCCTGCAGCACCAGAACAGCTGCAAAAGCATCTCTGTTATCCCAAAGAAAAATCTACTGTAACCTTACGAGAAACACAACATTCCTCGAGACGTGTTTCTGCCAAAGTAAAGTGCACTTAATGTTTAACTTAGATAAAGGAGCAAAATAATAAATCCAATCTCATTGGGGTTTGCGCTTTGAAACTGCTTAGTAAAAGTCCATGCGAGTGTAAACACAGCAGGATTTCTGGGGCTCTTATGCAAGCTCGCACTCACCCCCGGTTATACATGACACGCTGGGAAATATCAAATTAAATGAGCTTTTTCAAAAAAAAAATAAAAAAAAATTGTAAGATAAATAAAGAGTTCTATTATTACTCTGGGATGTTGTGACTAACAGCAGGACACCCCCCCCTCCTCAAAAAAATACACAGGATAGAGAACATGATGTTCCTCAGCGTAGAGTGGCTGAAGGTTTTCAGCCTCCCATGGTGCCAGTAGGACAGACACTGTTTTAGACTTTGTGTTGGCAGTGATGCCTAAATAACACCTCCCCTTACATGTCAAACATATTTTTTTTCATGAGGGGAATAACAATGGCGGATGTTAACTAAAAGTACATTTACTGAACTACTGTACAATTTTGAGGTTCTTAACTTGTGTATGTATATTTTCTGCTACTTTAGACTTCTACTCCACTACATTTATTTCATAACTTTACCTGTTACTTTGTAGATTCAGATTATTTATTAAAAAACATATATATACATATATATAAAATCAACAAAGAAACAAACAATGCATCAGTAATTCGATAGTTCAATAACATAATATACATTATTCGGAAATAGGCCTCTCTACATAAAGAGTACTTTTGATACTAACGCCAATGACTTTTCCTTGAAACTGAGTATTTCTCTGCAGCAGCTTTTGAGTAATTCTTCCATCACTGCTTAATTATAAAAATGTGATACTGTGTAAAGATGATTGTTTCCTGCTGGGTTTGACAGGACTGAGAAAATCAAACAAACCCCTTCAAAATGTGTGGGGATGCAAATGTACACTTCTGTTTGGACATTATAACATAATTGCCTGGAGACGGCTGGACGGAGGCAATTACACAATAAGTGACATGTCAAAGAAAAGGACCATTATGCGCAAAATACATAACTGTACATGTATTTCCAATTTAGTCAGTGTGCTTATGGGCAATTTCCTTTTAGTTTGCCAAATAAATTTCCAATATCCCATTTCAGGCACAAGGTTCAGCTGCAGAGCAGGTAATCAAAACAATCCAGCTGTCAAAGACGACTGTAGGTGCTTTTATTACAACTTCCAACACGCAGGGGGAACTCTCATTTCTAATGGACCACTGCCGCACACAGCCTATTCAACAGCACCACCAAGAGGAGCAGTAACAGAACTGGTCCTGAACCCAGCATACAGAGATACAGCAGCTGTCTCACTGTCATTAACACCTGTAGTATTTTTGATGGACCGTGTAAGAGAGGTGTTGATTAAACTGGGAGTATTTTTAATTTTATTTTGTTGCTTGATATAATGACTGTTAGCTAAAGAATAAATACCACTGTATATACAATATGACATTTATCCTCTTGTTAATTCTTCTCCACATTTAGGAGGGAATTATTGTACTTTTACCACATTTATTTGACTCCCGAAGTTACTAGTTATTTTACAGACTAAGAGTTTAGATACGGCACAAAATGTATGATCAGAAAATATGATACATCAAATAATAAATCTGCTTTTCAAATAACCTCAGTCCTTAATTGAGTATTTACTTTAATTTGTTAAAAAAAAGTAAACTGCCAGCATTGTAAGGATATTCCAACCTTTTTTTTAGGTTTAAGTTTAATTTTTGCTTCTACTTTTGATACTTAAAGTACGTTTTGCTGATGCTGCTTCTGTTCTTTAACTTTTGAAAGCAGTACTTTTATTTGGTCGTTTAGAGTGTGGTGCTACCTCTAACTAAAATAAAGACTTCTTTACTTTAAAACTTAAAGCTTCCTTTACCACTGCTGCAGAAAAAAATAAAACCAAAACCACAACTTAAACCACCTCTTTCCACTTTATTGACAAAGAGAAGCACATTTAATGCGAGTGCTCAACCATTTCCGCGGAATTTGTTCTATTTGAACATGTCTGCTGTATGCCGCTCTTACTCCCTTCTAAGTGTGAGGAAAACATTCGAAACTTTTCACATACAAATGAAATCAGTATAAGGAACAAAAAAAGAAAAAAAGAGCAATACTGACAGTGTCAAATCATTTTAGCGTGTTCGTTTGTTATACAACATCCACCTACTATCCACCCACAGATTCTCTCCGTTCTCTCCATGTGGATCGACAGAGAGAACGGCTCACTCAACACAAAGGGCATCAGAGCACAACGCGAGATCAGTCAGTTTATTTTGATTTTCAGAGAACGGACCGAAGTCCTGATGGAGGTTCAACTGTATTCCCTTTAGACCTTTATAGCTCTATGTGCGAGGTCAGTATGCAATGTAAAAGGAGGTGTCTGCGTGTGCAAAGTGGGTCTGTGTGTTTTTTTTTGTTTTTTTTTTAAATAAAACAGATGAGCTCTGTGCATAAGATGTTGATTGCTGCTGAAGAATAATGCCAATAACAAAGAGAAAGAGACAATCCAGATACAGCAATGTGGAAAAGACTTTCTGTCATTTTACGCTGACTAAGCATTTGTCAACGTCATCAGTCAAGAAATTTGCACACAATGATCTGTATTGCAACACTCCCATATAGGAAAAATGCAGGTTTTATAAAGAATTTTTGCATAAATAATATTAAACTAAATAAAACACAGGTAAAACAAAAGGACTTCACCAAGACAACACACATAACAGATTACAGTTAATGCTATTTTCTCTGGAATGAATGAATGAATTAATAATTAAATCTTTTCTGAGTCAATGTTCCAAATTTAGATACTGATTCTGAAAATGATGAGAAGTTTGAACCATATGGAGTCTGACAGATAATCTCATGAAGGTGTGATAACTCCCAGGATATTGGAAACTACATCACTAAAAAAAAAAAAAAAAATCTCTACTCAACAACCACACAGACTCTCAAGAGATGAGTGACATTAATAGAAGAGGAGGAGTCAGAACTCAGTCTTCAAACCTCCCATCCAAGATGCTTTCGAAGGTGAAGGGGAGGAACTTGAAGCCCTGGCCTGAGTAAAACTTGTTTTGGAACTCCACCCTGCAAAAGAAAATAAAGATCCAATCAGAGAAACAATGACCAGGAAGCCTGGTACACGATAACACAGTTGGGCAAATGGTGATGATGGCTGTCAGGGGGTAGGGTGGGGGGTGGGTGGGGGTAATGCTGAGCAGAGCAGTCGTGGCTGATGACCTCTGCTCTTCATTTCACAGTCTGCACCCACCTGCACCCGCTCATGTCTCTGCTCCTGCACCCCGGCCCTGAGGGCCAGTTACCTAAGCCTCTTCCCGTCTGGAAAATGATCAGGCTCTATTTTTAAAAAGGCCAATGCTAAGTGACGGCTGGATGACCTTTTAACTGACGACCCACAGATACCTGCCATTCCATAAGTCTGTCTGTACTGGACATAACTTCCTACGCTTGTCCTTGCAAAAATGCTGAGACGGTGCCAGTGTTAAGAAAGAAATCAGAAAGGTAGATATTTAGACTGAGTCATTCCTAAAATTTCTGGGCCTCATTTACTTTTTAATCCCATAGACATACTTGTATCCTTTTAAAATGATAAACTCCAGCTTACTACTGTGCATAACTGATGCATATACTGCAAGATAGTACATTTGATGGTTAAGGTCTCCATGATATCTCAGCAACTGCAAGAATCTCTAGAGAGAGTTAGGAGAGGTCAACAAGCACGTCCTTTGACTCCCGAAAAGTAAAGTGCTGTCCACCTCAACTTTGGCAAACAGACCAAGAGTCCGTGGAAATAAAATATTATGATTGTTGTTTTATTATAGGCTTCCGTGTGTGCAAAATTGCCCGATTGTCCCTGAAGGCCTTTGAGTGAAAGTCACCCTGCATTACTGCATAAAGGACGATTATAGAGAAGAGTGGCTGCAGCACAGGCGTGCTCTGTAAATGTGCCAGTGGATTATGAAACCAGGATGACATTCAGCAAAGCCAGACAAAGACAGTGATGAGGGGACAATAAAGGCTCGTCTGTGCCATACCAAGGAGTCTGCAGACTGCTCTGCACACCACACACACGCAGCATAAAATGGAAAAACACAACACTGACGAGAGCTGGACATGTTCCAGGTCACGAGCCAGGAAAGTGAGTGAGTGATGGGGAATCACAATTTGTTGATTTTAATTGGGACACAGCCTAGACACAATGTGAGACTGATGGTAACTGTTACATAATCTGTTTTGGTTCCTCTTCCTTAAATTGAGAGAAATAGACTGAACTACTGTATTAACTCACTCACAAACAGAATCAGTTGCCTCTCATCTGTTCATCCTCTTCTGTGCGCCCACTGAGAACCAGTAAAGTTAAATAAACCTCTAGCCTGCAGATGGAGCTATAGCTCTTTGGTTTGCAGTGCTTACAGTCATTTGACTGTAGAGTCCTCACAGTTTTAACGCAATTTAAAACGCTTTAACATCAATATTAACCAGCATCAATTTAAAAGGAAGAAAAAAACTAAATTAAATGCAATATACACATAAATAAAAACTATTGCAACAAACAAATGCAATACTCATCTTACCAGTGCAGTCGCAGTGCGTGCAGGAAGGCAGACAGGCCCTCCATAATAAGGAGAATGGCAACTGTGAGAACAGCAAAGAAATAAAAGACTATGGCCAGAAGGACGAAGCCTCCCAGACTGCTGCTAGAAAGGCCAATGTGCATCACCATGGACCACAGCACCTCCGACAGCTCTGTGTATGGGAAAAAGAAAAGCACACATATTTCACTGCCGAGATGAACCTGAGCATGTATGTATTTCATCTGAATGTAGATGGAGTTCATTTCTCTTTAATAAATGTGTGTGTCGCTGCTTTAATGTACTGATGTCAAACTTGGAGGATAAGAGGTGAGACTTACGTGCATGAGCCAGACTGAGGGCCCAAAGCCTCAGATAGGAAGCAGTGTTTGAGATACAGCCCAGGCAGTACTCTATGGTATGGATTGCCTGATGCACTGCCACATCCGCAAAGTTAAACTATGGGACACATAACATCAAAACACACGTCAGCGTGACACTCTAGAAAACATCACAACATCTCTACGACAGGTCCCGAGGTCTGGATAGAAGATTCATTGTGTGTGCATATTTATTCAGGTAAGTGACAGGAAAGCCATTTGCCCCTGTAGATCAGCAAGCCCCCCCCCCACCCCCCCAAATTAGAAGAGGCAACATCATCTTAGGACCTTGTGAACCCATAGTATCAACCGCTCTCTGCTGATGCTTCATGCACACCACCAAGACTGTAAGGGAAGCACCGGCCTTCTGGCGCACACCGCTTGAGGAATCCCTGCTAACCCATGTTTTCTGACAAGAAACTCCTGGAACACGCTGACCACACACACCGACTAACACGGACACGGCTAAGAGCAGCAGGCAATGGTTGACAGCATACGTAGACAACAAAGCGAGGGGCGGAAAGAGACAGAAAAGCTAGACATGCAGTTTGACAGGGGGGGCAGGTTAGAGGGTGGAGGTGTAGCATGAGCTCCTGTCCTACCTCTTCTTCCTCGCGGGCCTTGAGAGCAGGTGACAAAAGGCAATGCTTGGTTATTGACAGCACGCACACACAGACGGACAGACAGACGGTAAACAGTAAACAGGAAAGTAATGAGAAACAAGAGGAATCCAACATTAGAAAATGACAACACTCTGCTCACATGTACTGTCACTGCAGTTTAGAATGAAATGAAACTGTATCAGAGGTTCACATAAAACTCATCATCTGTTTCACGCTAGTGTTAAAGCTCTGCAGCATGTACAACATAAACCGGACTGCTCAGCACTTCCCAAGAAGTTAAGTTTATAATTACAAAATTGTACACAAAAGTGGATGGATGGAGGGAACACATAATTATAAAAGTGTGTAAACAACATAAATTCAATCAATTTAATCTCTCAATAGCATTTACAGTTTAATGGCTAAGCCTTAAATAATAACTAAAAAAAAAAACTGACACACAGTGGAGCTTTTTGCCAAACCGGACCTTAATCCATAATTGATGTTTTTCATTATCACAGTGGAAGTGGAAACATGAGGTATCCGTTTCTCTTTCCAACTGTGTCTGAGCGACTGAATTATTCAAAGTTGTAAGTAGATCCTATAACCTGTGTAACCGCTGGCCTGCCGTTACTCCAGCTTTGTGGGCAAGCGGGAGCGAATGCCGTCGACTAGAAGACGGCGTTGCTTGGTGAGGACGTGTCTCTTTTACCTCGGGTTCTTCCTCCGAGTGCTGCGAGAGCTGGTCATGCTGGATGATTTCAGCCTCATCCTCAGTGGGCCCGTTGCCCACCCTGATCCCTCCAAAGTTCTGTGTACCCTGTCACACGAAACAGGTAAAGAAATAACAAAATTAGAAAAGGATTTATTATCAAGTGCTATGTTTATAACTGTATTAGAATACTTTATTCCATAGAGTGTTAGCAGGCTGCTTACCAAATGTTTCCGCCACAAGTACTGTCTCCGCAGAACCAGAGTTTTCACTATTAACATACAGGGAACACATGCCAAGGCGATGACCACCAAGAGTGATTGTACAGCCGCCTACATATCCAGGGGAAAGATAAAAGCACAAAAAGGACAATTTATCTTCCTGTGGTTGACTTGAGGACCAAAGGATGGATGGATGTAACCGATGAAGTGTATTTGACCTGTCCTCTGTAGAGAGGTTTGTTACTGGGGTCGTTGTAGTTGAAGAGGAACATGTTGATAAAGGCGATGAGGAGACTGGGAGCATCCCTGGAGGTGCGCGCATCATACGCGACCCACTTATAGAAGACCAGGATGACGAGGTAGCCAAACAAACTGGCCATGAAGACAATCTCTGGGATAAATCCCAAGTAGATATTCAGTGGCTTCTGGAAATACCTGCAGAGAACCACAAACAGCCCATTTGTCTCCAGAGCAATAATGCACAAATTCAAAGAGGAAGGAAAAGCAATGACGAAGTATAAATGGGGATGAAAATCTCACAGGTGGTTGAAGAGACTGAGAGTGACTCCGAACAGCATGTGGATGACTCCCAGGACAACAGACATCTTCATCTTGAAGGAGTTCAGAAATGTCAGCTTGTTGGTCGCAATGTTCCATATCTGAGAGACAATAAGGGCAAGTTTATGCAACAAACCTTAACACCTTAACTGATGTTTAACTAATATATACTCATTTGCACACATGACATTATATAACTGTATCATTAGAATAAATGGAATACAGATCACAAAGAAAAATATTCACCGGATCGATGCCGATGGGGTATGGCCCTTTAAACACTCCATCTATTGCTGGGTCCAACTGCAAAACTTTATTGCCTTCAAGTGTTTCAAACCTGAACAGATGACCACACAAATCAGTTTTCTGACTTGAATTACTGCACAGCTCCAACAGGCCAAGGTTAAGGCTCCAGCAGTCATTACCAACAGTGACACTCACGTCCAGTTGCCTCCTGCTCGAGAGTCGAACATCGGCCTGACACTCCAGGCAGAGCCAAACACGTTGAGGGACTTTGAGAAGCAGTCGTTGTAAATGATGCCCGTGTAGACCGAGAAGATTCCCATCAGCAGAATGATGTAGCGCCCCGCAAACACCATGCTGAACATCTGCCGCAGAATAATTAATACATTTAGATCTCAGGCAGAATCTCTGAGCAGGATAAACTGAAATCAAATGGGTTTTTAAAAAGCTTCATCTCTCAGATCAGGGGCTGGTTTTATCACCAGTAAGGATGGCGTAGGACTGATGAGATGGCAATGATGGGATCAATACCTCATTATCGTTCTTCTGGGCCATCAGCCTGCTCTCTCTCAATACAAGGTACAGGGCAGCACAGGTCATGAGAACGCCGTGGCCCAGGTCGCCAAACATGACCGCAAATAGGAAAGGGAAGGTGATGATGGTGTATGGTGCTGGAGACAAGAAGGTAGGGAGGCAGGCATCACATGAGAGGAAGGTGGCGGGGCAAGTGAAACAACAAATGAGTGACGCGTCATGAAACGCAGCATGTCCCAACAAGGTGATAATGGGTGATGCGGCAGTGACTGTGGTTCAATACTACAGTCAGCTGGGTAAACAGACTTTCTGATAAACAAAAAGCTCAACTGTCTTAAAAGATGAAGGATAAGACTGATTGTCTGAGTAAAGACGGACAGAGATCTAGGAATGAACACAGAAAGGTTTGGCACATTCTTACCAGGGTTAATCTCACGGTAGCTGCCAATTCCATAGGCATCCACAATGTTTTGAAAGCCTGAGGTGAACTTGTTTGTCTTGTTATAGGTGGGTGGGGTCTGCTTGGTCTGCATCCTATTGAGGATGGAAGGCACAGTGGAGCCGCTCTTTTCCTACAACGCAGAAAACAATGTCATGCATGGCATGATAATGTCAGACATTAGCTTTATTTTCACAGACATGAACTACTAGAGCATTTCAGAGATGAACTTCTTTCCTTCTTTCTAACTTTCTAATCTTTCCGAAAATTGGATCATGTTCTGAGGATGCTGAAAGCTAACTGTACAGAAAACAGAGGTATCCTGCTGCTGTCTCAGTTTATATGATACTCCATCATTTCTCTGAAAAGACACTACTTACTGCTTTAAAATTTCATTTCAATAAACTGATTAAAGATTATGAAATGTATCTATCTTGGCTGAGGCTACACAGCCCGCCAGGACAGCTTTGGAGAGAGGTGGAAGATGATGAGGACGTGACTGTAGCATTTAGCTTTGCTCACTGCAGCAGAGCTTTTGCACTGCCTCGTTAGTCCTGCTCCTACCCGACATTAACATGTGTTTTAGATGATCCAATCACAAGTGGACAGCTCTAAGTACAGATGTGAATGCTCCCAAGACGCAGTGAGGACACGATGAGATGTATTTGTTGAAGTACATCTGCATAAGCAGATGTACTTCAACAAATACAAGTCGCACAAATCATGTAAGCGTCCTTTGTCCACGACGTCTGAATTTCTCGATAAGCCTGTATATATTATGAGTGATCCTTTACAGGTGGGATTTGGTTTGCCTGTAACACACCAGGGAATAGACCCAGTCTGTACTGTTTATAAGATATTTCTTCTTATTTTAATTTTTGGCAGATTATGTTAAAAACAACAATGAATTTGGTCTTTGCAAACGGAACTGATGTCTGTGTTTATCTGCATATAGAACAGGGAAGTATCTCCACATGTGGGGATACATTCTAATACCAGGTGTGAACTCATGTGCTTAGTGCTGTTCACCTGTGATCGGATCACCTGAGATGCCCGACATGAACGGGGCCATTCACACCTCCCCGTCCACCAGCTACAGCTATCAGCAACTGGTCACAATGGAAATTTGCCGCAGCCAACATCATTTTGGCTTATTTAAGCACATCTATACATTTTTTTTCCAAGCTCTGTTTACTTCTTGTCTTAAGGGAAAATGCAAGTTGTGTCTGCTCTCACTTGACTTGCAATCTCCTCCAGTTGGTGGAGATTAATAAACCTTCATTTGTAGTGGATAAACTGATATTTGAGTGCACACAGAAGCTGGAGTGGACTGCTGGCTGAAAAACCTGTTTGTACTGACGTAGTTTAGACCTGCTGTTTTCAGACCGGTTCTGCTACATTCAACATATGATCAGGTAAACATGAACCAGACTCTACTTTTCCAAGAAAAAAAAGCAGGTCTTTGCGTGACTGTGTCTAGAAAATATGAACTAAACCTACTAAATGGTGGATAGGTTTTTATTAAAAGGTAAAATGCCTGTGTCTCAGTTACTCACCGTCCCCCTGCGCAGGGCAAACTGGATGGAATCCAGGTCAGAGACGGGACACCACACCTCAGCGATCAGACACTTCTGGGTGACATCAATGTTGCAGAGGTTGAGGGTGTGGTAGATGGCCTTCATCTTCCTCACCTTGATGAACCACACTCTGACTGTCTTGGCTGCAGCCTGCAGGACCCTCTGTCTGTGATCCTCTGTCTGGTTCAGCACCTTTTGGGGCAGACGAGAGTGGAGGTGGTTGAGGTCAGGACGAAATCTTTTACACGATTGTATTATAAGTGGTATTCAGGCTTTTTCTGATTTTGTGGCACATTTTGTTATCCGTCTAATGTGGTTCCATCTTGGCCAGGACAAGAAAAGAGATTTTGAATTATTACAAAACATCAATACCAATAAATCTATCAAAATAAAGTCGCAGCTGTGTGGTATATAATGTGTACTACAACCAGAAAAGGCTATCATAACAAGAAAACTAACAACAGCAGCAATGAATCACATACTCCTTCATATTCATAGAAAGGGTTTACATTTACTGGCACTAACTCATACGTGTAGTGGCTGACTGGTGTATGTTAAAGCAGGCTGTCTAATCCATTAGGTTTTTCCCATGTGAGATATAGGATGTTCCCAGGTATGCTGCTGTATGACTCACATTGTAAGCCAAGTCCCATGATCAGCAAATGGCAGGATATTTAAACTCTGCCTACAGGCACAGTCTCGCCTGCTGTCGAGGGGCTTAATGGCCCACACATAGCTGATTGCTGGCCAAATAGCTTGACATTCTTCATCATCCACGCTGTTCGGTCATTCAGCTCTCACGCCCTCGTAGCGACAGGCATAACACTGCATCCACAAAGACCAAGACACACATTCCCCCGATACATACAAGTATCAGGTATCTGTCTAATATGAGCCGTTACCGTGGCTGCAACGGTCAGTCATCTTACAATATTTGAGTCACACAAAACCGACACAGCTGGCTCACTGAGTCAAATAGCATGTGGGACTGTACCCCAGGCTGCAGTGAGTACAACAAATGGGAAGGAATTCAACACTGCAGGCAATACTAAGTGTAGTTTCTGTGGCGAGATCCTGCCTGAGGACATTTCTCTCTGTAAATATCCAACTGCAATTAAACTAAACTCTGTATCCTGCGTGGGTTGGAGCTGGACAGCTGACATGTTGATCAACAGCTGTAAAGGTTTACTGAGCCATTATTTCCCTCACAAACAAGGGCAGGGTGGCAACAAGAGAGGGCTGCGAGGCGGTATCTGTTGGTGGTGTTGATAGGTGCATTTGTCATGGAGGATGTGGTGATTTCCAAAGCCATAACAGTATGAAAAAAGAAAAAATGGAAAGGAAGTGAACTTATTACACTTAAAAGGCCCACAAATCTTATTTTCTATTTCATTTGCGCAACCTGAATCACATTAATTTACTGCTTATGAGAAGCCTACCAGTCTCAGAAGCTGGGCTGAGAAGAAACTGCAAAGAGCAGATGTCTTCCTGTCTTCATGCCTTATGAAATTTCCTTTATGGTCACTTTCCAATGAAGAAAAACTTGCTGACCAGACAGAAGCAAAAAAAAAAAAACAAAAAAAAAGAGAGAACTAACCAGTTCTGTCTTTTTGTGCAAGTTGGTGTTTATGAGTCAATGGTGCATGGGTGTTTTCCCTGCCAGTGAATTTACCATTTGCAGGTCCTCAATGCGAGCATTCACTCCTGCTAGCATCTCCTTCCTCTCCTGTGGTGTTTCTGGACACGGGTACAAAGTTGCTCTGAACCTGAGGACAGATGAGGAAGTGCAGATAAGGACCTGTTGGCCAATAACACTTGAGTAATTGTACATATGTTGCTGATTCGCTTACCCCTCACAGATCTTCTTGACTCTATTCTTCAGCTGGTCTCCCTGGAAGAAGATGATGAAGACAGACTTGTGCACCTGGTCGCCCTGTGGAAATGTCGTATAGTTAGGAGAACACTGAAGCATGCATTATATCTGACCAGACTTAAAAGACTACAACACATTTTAGCATATCAACAGTACTGACCGTGGTCGGGTCCTCCAGAGGATCTTCAATGTCTGCCTGCCTCAGAAACACATTTCCTCTGCAAACTCTCCACAGCATCCTCTCAAATGTGGGGATACGTTCTCTGCCAATGACTCCAGCTACAAATCTATAACAAATGGAATTACTCTGTCACTATTGTTACTAGTTACCTACACTCGTACAGATAAAAACTTCTAACAAATGCTTTTAACATTTGGAGAAAAAAAAGCACTATATAGAAGCTAAAAGTAACTTTCAAAACAGTTGTAATTCTCAGATACTCACTGCACAGCCTTAACAACAGACCAGTTACTCCTGTTTAAATATTTAGTATGTAAAGCCCATGTCATTACTGCTGTCTGAACAACTGGGACGGGCCTTGACAACTTCAAAAAACCTTTATTAGTCATGTACACTCCATAATTAAAAAAAAACAAAAAAACAACTTACACTTTTTTGTGTAATTAAGAAGAGCTGATCAGGGTAACAACATTTAGTGCAATGTCTACACTAGTAGGGACTGTGTTAGTGAATGCGAGTTCTGAATGGATTTGCGGTGACCTTTGTCACCTGTTTAAGCTTGGCAGCCTGAGCTGGTGTGTGGGAGATGATTGGCTAGTTGTAACTCTACAGTTTCAGGCACAGATGGCTCGAACCGCACAGACGGAACCGGAGATCTCCGAGAAAAGCTTTATCCTTTTAATATTAGGAAAAGACCACAAAAACCGACTCACCCCAGTCTGAGAGGAGCTCCTCTGCTGACCTCATTGGGGTCCAGCGGGGCGGACGAATCCTCCAGTAAACTGGGGTCCTCCATCTGGATGAGAGTCCATTAACAAAATCATCAGTTATAACGGCAACACATACATTGCTGCCACAGCATTAGCAGACACATGCACTTGTGAGCAGTGCTGTTACAAAACCTGCAGGACATTTTATTTAAATGAACGTTATGAGATTTGAGCAGAAGAGAGATAAGGAACCAGGGCCAGAGTTTGCTTCCAGCACAGACTGAGAACTTGAACCAGTTAATGGCTGAACACCTACGTGTTTGGCTAAATGATTCACCTCAATCAAAGCTCATAACATTGTAAAAGATCACTCAACGCTTGTGAGGGCTGTCAAGGGGAACTGATGTTGGGCAAAGGTGGAAAGGCGAGGATTTTGCTCTGGCAAATAAACAAAGTACACAGAACTAAAGTGAAGCAAAGTACTGTACAGCAGTGGGATTACAGCGAATTAAATGGTGTGAATAAATGATGTGAATAGACTAAGGTCATGTGAGCAACTATAAAAGACCATGAGTGCAAACCCCCTTTGCCAAATCAAGCAGCAATAAGTGGTCCTTTGTGTATGTGTGTGTGTGTGTGTGTGTGTGTGTGTGTGTGCGTGTGTGTGTGTGTGTGTGTGTGTGTGAAATCAGAGCATCTTATCAGCAGAATCTGTATCACACCAATGCAAAGCTGAGATGACTGAGTTCAGGCTGCAACTGTTTAAACTCGAAACCATAAGCAACTACCTACAAGAGTAAAAGTCTCACTTCTCTTTCAGGTCACCACAGTGTTACTTCAACGAAAGACCTAGCACACCGTTTTGCAATGCGTGTGTGGGTGCGCAGTGAAGCTGACCTCATCAAAAAACTGTTGTGTGCGACGCAGAATGTGCTTGAGCTCAGTGAGTTCCAGGAAGTTCTTCTTTAGGGCTTCTTGGTTAGTGTTTATTTCCTTCAGCTCATTCTCAAGCTTCTCAAATGTGGCCTGTGGGGAGACATACAGAGACGTCAGCCGAGGGAAGTGGCAGGTGATAGAGCTCAATGTTTATCTGTCAGAGAGAAAGAGAGAGAGAGAGAGAGAGAGAGAGAGAGAGAGAGAGAGAGAGCGAGAGAGAGAGCAGTCACCTCCAGGTCGATCATGTCCCTTGGGAAGGGGACTTCAGGGTTTTCTCCTGTATCAACTATTGGGATGTTCGCCTTCTTTATTTCTTTCTCCACGAACCCTGCAAGTGAGAAGTGACAAGGTAAAAATCAGGGTACATTTAGCTGGTGTACATGTACTTGTTTTATGCTGGACAAAGAAGTGCCTCTCCTGTGGATATTAAATGAACAGCATTTGTTGTGGGTTAGGAAACATGAGTTGCAGCATTGTTAATTTCCAGCCAGGGCAGGGGCAGCTCTGGCAAGCTATACCTAAAGCTCACTTACTCAGTTTGCGATCCATCTCTTCACATCTTCGTACTTCATTGACAAACTTTCGTTGGAACACGTTCACATCAGGATTTAGCTGCAGCAAAAAAAAAAAAAAAACATAATTGAGGGTCAAGCTAAACAACGTGGACTGCGATATGTATACCTATGGCTGCAATACTTATAATTTAATGATATGCTCAAATTCTGCATTGCTATCCATTGACAAACCTTCCATTAATGTTTTTTTTGAGAGTCTATCAATAACTCTTCAGAATTGTAAAAAAAACATGAATTTCTTATCATCTTTATAGAAATTATTATCATTATAGAAATGATTATACTTTTTAAACTAATGGAGGATGTCAGAGTGTAATTTGATCAAATGAATAAGATAGCACTGTTGATGCACAGACCCACTCTGTTACAGCCCATCCAATACTCTAGCACAAAGCTTCCCTCTGGGCCCGGCAGCAACGGGCTTTCTCATGCGTGGAATGAGGGGTCAGCTGTGAGCACATGATGAACATGATGCAGAAGGCATGCACTTTCTCAACAGTTTTTTACTGATGGGATTGTTTTTTTTTTTTTTTATCACTATGAAAGATGGTACTGATGACTGAGCCTTTACACTGTAGGTACCACTTTTGGAAAGCAAGATTTAGTTGTCAGAAAATGGCAAATCAAAGCAGAACCTGTAGTAAATAATGAATGAGTCATGATTTGATCCGGAGAGCAACAGGATGAGACACAGGTGGACTTACGTCGCGAAACTGCACCATCCCAATCTCTCCCAGTTCACTAACACAACAGTAGGCAGCTTCTGACTGGAGGAAGAGCTGAGCCAGCGTCATCTCTTCACTCCTGAAGAGTTCCCCCATGTTGCTCAAGAAGGTGAGCTCTTTGCAGCCTTAAATCAATCAGAACCTCTAGAAATGGAATAAATAAAGATAGTGCCCATTAGTGACAGTCAAATATAAACAAATTTGGCTTTCAGCTGTAGTTATACAATCAACACTTGACACGCTAGTGTAAAGAATAACTAATGAAGGAGGGCTATATCAGTTCAGTGTTAGTTTAGCACAAGTGTGAGAAGTTGACATGTGACACAAAGAGAAAAGAAAAAAAAATCAGTTTGCCCCATGCTGATCCCATGATCAGTACAGGAATGTTATGCTGAAGGGTTTGATCTGTAATAACGCAATATAACAACAACACTGTTAAATGGGCTGTATTTTAACTGAGGAAGTAAAGCACAGGTTAATGGTCTATGTGGGTAGAATGCAGTTTTTCACGTCTAAAGCTAAAAAGGTGAAGACTTTCTCAGAATATCTTGCAGCTAAGCAGCACAACCTCCTACTGTAAAACGACCACACAGGGCTTATCTGTGGATTACAAGGTAGCATGTGACCTGTAGCTCTAGTAAGCCTCAATACATCAACGCTGAGTGCACATTTACTGCCTTAACAGGTTTGTATAGTTACACCACGAAATCTGACAAAACTACAGAGCTTGAATATGTTGTATTTAGTTCATCGATAAGCCAACACATCAGACAGCTTCTAGTAACTAGCTTAGCTCCCTGACCACTGCAGCTTCACCTGTCAAAGCTGGAAATGTTGGAGAGCTAACAGTTACAAATACATCAAACTGTAACTGTTGTAGCTACTTGGACGCAGATCAAACAAAACTATTAACATCGTATAATATAAATAATGCAGCAAAGTCAGACACTCAAAGCTAATTCAGCGTTAACGTTATTTAACCGTAGCAGAACAATTATTAGTTGACGGGTGCTAGTCAGATTAGCAAGCGTTAGCAAGTTAAACTTCATTATTAAGAACAATATAACGTCATACAACAGGATATTAACTGTTGTGTTATTAATATGAACTTTTCACGATATCAGAATGTTAGTTAGCTAACTCAGATGACAGTTAATAGCTCAGTTTGCAGTTAAATGAGTGTGGGGGGCTAACAAGATAGCTAATGCTATATTAGCGCACCTGCTGTTCAATATTTTAACTTAGCCCATTATAATAACATTAACGCTCAATCGTTTCTAGTCTCAGTAATCTTAATATAACTGTAATCAAGCAATATAGCCTAACTGTGTCCTTACTGTATAGGTGGATACCCTGTTTCTCCTCTTAGTTTTCCGTCTTGGTTTCCTGTTCGTTGTTTGTTGTGGACTGATCGTTGGTTTGAAGCCGACAACTCAACCAGTATCGACCTTTCAAAGAGGAAGTGTTGCGGCAAGAAGAGTGGATGCCTCCCTCTATGAGGCCAAAATCACATGAACGTCACCAACCCTCGTAAGCTTCGGGGGGCGCTGTGAAGTCGCAGCGCTAGCCTTTACTTCTGCCTAATTAATACGTTTTATTTTGAATGTCTTCACCGGAAGTGTTGTTGTGTTTCTGTCGTCCCCCTTGATGCACCTGAGGTTGATTTGTAATCATGAATGTTCAGTGCCTCCCAGTGGATACAACACGTAAACACAACCCAACATGTTGTAAAAGTATGTATGTACAATATATACAGTATGTATGTATTTATTTATTTATTTTTAAATTTTAGTTGTTTTGACAAGAATAATGCGCATTATTGTTTTAAATGGCACCCCAAAGAAAGAATGAAACAACAAAACTTATAACATTCATACACTCAACAGTATATATTCAGTAACACTATAATACATGGTTGTTAAATTCAGTCCATAATGAAAATAGAATGGAGCAAGGAAGGAATGGAATCGATCATCCGCTTGTTAAGTTTGACGTGATGTCTCAAAAACGTTTGGTTTATTTATACTGCATAATTTTCATAATTATTTCATTAAAGATAAGCTTGGTGTGCATAGAGCAACAAGTTACATAACACCAGCACAATACACAAAATGCAAGAATAAGCAAAAGTCAATAAAAGAAAATGAGTTTACGTTGTTCTGTAGTGGTCGGTGTTAATATATCTGTTTTAACTTTAATTTTGAATGCTGAAACCGGAAGTACTGCTATGCTATTGTGTCTGCCTTGATACCAGTTGAATTCAGCTGTAGTTGCTCGCCGTGGCCACTAGAGGGCATGACAACTTCTGCGTATTTAGCTAATTGTCGTAACGTACATCGTAATTCCTTCGGTCACTAACTTTGTGCTGTAGGAAAAGTTACGTATTGGTGAAGCTCGCAAGGTATCGTGATAACGTTAGCTCGGTGAGTGAACCTTGACTTACTCGTCGTGGCGTCAATGGAGAGTTCCCTCAAGGCCCCTCACTACAACCTTCACCGCTGAGAAGGTAAATGGAGGTAGGCTAAATGTTTTCAAAAACGTAGTATTTATTGCAGAGCGGTTCGGACCGGTAAGGCAAAGCAACAAACTATGAAATTAATCACATTAACAATATCTCTCACTGTAATTATTTTTTTATTTACAATTTTTTTGCTCATAAGTGTGGCAGATAAAGATTCTTCATGAAATTATTCATTGTCTGAATTCCTATTGTAACCAACAATTTTTGGTTTGCAATATAATATTGCAAATGACAAATGTCAAATCACAGTAGTGTGTAGATGTTGTCCAAAATTCATTCACAATTTGGTGTGATTCATGGAGTTGTGCAATCTAGTCAATTTAACCAAAAATATGACAGTGATGAGAATTACTATAATGAATTATAGTAGTTTATTTTTGGTTGCATAATTTGGTATTTTGAAGGTTTTTGTGTAACAATGATCGTAAATACATTGCGATCAACTATCACCCCCATATATACCAATAGAATATAAATAAGTATAATATAAATATATATAGCTCTTGCTGAGTGTTTTTGTTAAAAATAACAGCAGGCTGAAAGATGAATTATAATGAATTAGTAGCTAAAACTTCAGAATTGTACACAGAGAGCTCAGCTGTTACACACACTGTCCAATGTGCTATTTCCATGGAAAACTTTAATGCCTGTTTCATCATAAACTGATGTTTTTTGTGGGACTGGATCTCGCCTCCGGTGGCCCTCACCTCTCCCTGTTAGGGAGGAGTGTCATGTCACCATTAGAGGTGGAGTCTGGAGATATGCTGCTCTGTGCTTGGGGACAGAATGGGGTGGAGCCCCAGCGGCAGGGGAAGCCAGGGGTGGGGGAATGGGGGGGTTTGTAGGAAGGGAAAAGTTTGATGGGGTGGTTTCACAGGGAGCAGAGGCATTTGAGTCAGGGCACACATGCCTCAGCTGTGAGAGGCCCTACTCCCCTTGGCTGGCTGGCATCCCAGAGCAGAGGCAGAGAGACACAGAGAGGGTAGAGTGTGAGAGACCGAGGGTGAAGAGAAAGTTAAAGTGTAAAGTAGTTTAGTAAGAGGCAAACAAGTGGTAGAGAAAGTTGTTCGAAAGAAAAGGAAAAAGGATCAGGGACTGAATTCTGTGCAGTGTAGCTCCTGTAGGTTGTTTTTCAGTCGTGTATTTTTATCTGTAGTGAGTGAGCAAGCGGTTTGTATTTGGAGTTGACAGCCATGGCGGATACAGGTGTCAAGAAGGAGCACAAAGCCCTGGCAGAGGTGCCTTGCGATGATGAAGAGGTCGCTCTGGTAGGTGCTGCCACCGAGCCGGCAGTAGATGATGATGATGATGACCCTGCTGAGGAGGTGGACCTGGTGCTGGCTGCTGGCTCTGGAGGCAAGAGTGAAGCCCAGATGAACGGGGTCATGGTTCTGTCCCTGCTAGACAAGATTATCGGGGTGGTAGACCAGATCCAGCAGACCCAGAATGGTCTCGAGGCCCGGCAGGAGGCCATGGAGAAGTCAGTGTCGACCATCCAAGGGGAGCTGGCTAAGTTGTCCAAGAACCACATCGGCACTGCCAACACTGTCAACAAAATGCTGGACAAGGTACGCAAAGTCAGTGTCAACGTCAAGACGGTGCGCAGCAACCTGGAGAAGCAGGCGGGCCAGATCAAAAAGCTGGAGAGCAACGAGAACGAGCTGCTCAAGAGACGCAACTTCAAAGTCCTCATCTACCAGGTGATGGGGTGGGGGCTATATGAGCTTGTTCTTTTGTTATTTTCATCATGTAATAGAAAGAAATATTTGAGAATGTGTTGATCAGAAAATCATTTAAAAAAAAAATAACATGATTAATAGTTCACATGTGACAATTAATGTGAATACGCTAAAATGACATGTTGGCCCAGAAAAGGGGTGTGTTGCATTCCCCATATCACAAAGGAAAGTTGGGAGGAAGTGTGAAATGCACCTGAAAAGCTACAAGTGTTTGACATCATCTCATCAGAGAGAGTTAGAGTCACACTGCGGCACAAGATCACCCTTGTTAGTGCAAATGAAAAGGGGCCCTGAAATAAACCCTACCTTCATGTAATTGAACTGTATTGCATTATTCAGAGAGGTGTTTCTGTTGGGGGTGGGTAAAAATACTAGAAACGTATTGTCCGTATAAATGGCCATAAAGTAGAATTAGCACCTCTATAAAACTGTTTCAACACAAACTGAACATTAAAACTGCCATGGAGGTAGGATTTATGGCAGGACTGCTGGATTAGACTGCACCAGTATTCACTAGGTGTTCCTAATAAACTGCCAGCTGATTGCATGGTTTAACTTCTGTGGTTTCCATGACATAAATTTCAGTATCACTTTTTCCTTAAACGTACACAAGGCTGTAATGTTTACGAAGTATCAGACACTGCACTCCTCTGTTTAGAAGCTGTTGTACAATTTGTGACCATGCTCAGTGAGAGGTGGGCTCCTCCTCTCTCACCAGTGAAGGGAATACCAGTAGCTTCCAATGGAAAAATGAAGGCAGGTAGTGACCTCTCCCACTCCACAGGACTTCATGATTACCCAACGAAACTATATAAAGACTAGTGGGTGTAAATAAAAATATAAGCCCTATAAACACTGGCATGAGGAGCTACTTGAGACAAAACCAACGCCCAGCCTCCGAGTGCTCAGAGGACAGAAAGTTGGCAGGCTGCTGTAAGATGAAGATGTAGTTTTTATTATGAAGATTTCTCAGAAGTGGGATTCAGAAGTGTTCATATTAGGGCATGGTCAGTTTTCTTAGGGAGCATGGTTTCTTCTCCTTCACAACTACCGTTGTGCATTTGAGACTTGTTGAGCAACTCTTTTTTTAGCAGGACGTGCTGTCATGTCTGGCTGGTGACCCTGCAGCTTGCAGTTTACAGCATGCACAGCAGCAGCTTTTCATCTGGAATTTGTCATTACACCACAAATCACACGGCCGCATGAGAAACTGTAAGTGGTAGTCACCTCATGCACATCACTTCAAAGCTGGTACAGAGAGAAGATTGTCTTTAAAAAACATTAGTAACAGTGAATTTGAGAGTTGTGGGCCTCTCGTGAGTGGAGCTTACTTCAGGATCTCCACTGGCAGGCACAGACTTTTTCACGTCCCCCTCCCGGGATGTCCACTGTGGGAGCAGGTTACACTATCGGCATCTAGCAGAAATCCAATCATAGACACTAGGCCTTAATAAATTACTCTGCAAAGCAGGTGCCTCTCGCTGTTTGTGTCACTGTGTAGTCTACTAGCCTTTTGCAATTGCAATTGCCAGTCAAGGATACTGTACATAAAAGGGGTCGACAGTTTGCAAATGTGAAACTCATTTCAAGATCTTGCACTGTTTAATAGAGTTTGACAATTTAATGTTTCTATTCTGAGTTTCTAGTCTGGCGTGTGCTTCAACAGACAGCACAAACCACTTCCTGTTGGTATTATAGCAAAAGTAATGCTCTTATCACTTTCTAAACTTGATGACTGTCACGTTAACAAAGCAGTTGTAAGAGCTGTAGCTTCCATGTTGCAGTGGCTGTTTTGGGCTCCCACGGTCTATTAACTGCCAAAGGATGGCTGCACCGTGTCTGGTTTATCTGACTGACAGACTGGCTGGTCAGATATTGGCAGCATTGCAAATCAACACTGGCTCTCAGTCAGGTTTCACCACTTTCCACTGTCTGTTTGTGTGTTAATGTATTAGAGCGGGATACATTAGAATTAGAATTAATTGAAGGATGAGATCAGGGTCAGGCTTAGGCATGTAGAGGTTGTGGTTAAGGTTACGGTAAATGTCCGTGGAATTAATGTAAGGTAGTCCAGAGTCCTCACAAGTATAGTGATCCCAGCATGTGTGTGTAGGTGCGTGCGTGTGTGTGGCCATTCCTCACCAATATTGGCTTTCACCTACAGTGCCAATGTCAAGTGGGGCTAGAATTTGAGTAAGACAAGTGAAACATTTTCATAGCGTTACTTTTGCTGTGTTGGACCTCACACTCTGCTTTGTGAAGCTGATACTGACTCTTAACTGCAGGTGCTGTATTTTTCCCTGCTGTCATTCTGTCTGTGCACTCTGAGAATAGCCACATACTTCAGGATTTCTAGCCGGAAAGGCTTTGACAGTGATGCTTTATAATTAAACCTGCAATGATGGTGGCACGCAGGATCCCCCGGCAACAGCAGGGTGTGGCAGTGAAGTCGTATCACCAGCGGTGGAGGAAGTATTCAGATTCTTGTACTTGTAACAGAGTATTTCTCCACTGTGCTGTTGCTACTTTTACTTAAGTAAAAGTTCTCAATTCAAAATTTTACTTGCTGAAATATTAGCACATTAGTACAAAAAGTAAAAGTACTCATTATTCCAAATACCCCATTTCTGAATCATATTGAGTTATAACTTTTGATTTTGTCCACTGCATCACATGTGTTGCAGATGGAAAAGATTAGGCGAATTTGAACAACTTGATGTACTATTGGGTAGCTTAATTCAATAATACAACATAATTTATTAGTTGATTATATTTTGTATCAATAAAATTAATCTTCAAAGTGACTAATGCTGTCAAATAAATGTAGTGGAGAGAAATCTACAATATTTGCCTCCAAAATTCCATGGAGTATAAAAGTATGAAGAAGCATAAAATAAGAATACTCAAATAAAATACCTCAAAATTTGACTTAATTACAGTAATTGAGTAAATGTACTTAGTTGCATTCCACCAGTACAAATCTGATGTGCATAAAAATATTCAGTCTATCTTTATACATTTGAGTAACACTGCAACAATGGTGTTCCTGTGGTTTCTCATGAGACTGAAATATGAACCAGTGTGGTGCGTCTCTAATCCTGCATCTTCGTTCTAGTTAAAGGATTGCACTTACATTTTGGGGGGTATGTTAGGTACAACTGTCGAACCTTTTCCCCTACTCCTGGTCGGTGTCTCTCTGGAGTTGTGAAGCTGGGCTTTTAGAATAACAAACCCCTGACTGAGAGTGTCCTTGCAGCAGCTGAGGGTCTTCCTGCTGCACAAGGCGCAACCAGCCTGTCATCAGAGCTCTGTGGAGTGCAAATGGCCAGTGATCTAGTCGAGCCCTGCTTTCACACCCTCCCTGCATGTTTCTTCCCCAGAATTCAAGAGAAGCTTAATCATTCTCATTGAGTCCAAGTTTATTTCCTTATTTCCTATTAGTCTCAAATTGCCATAGATTTAGCATTTTAGTCCAGCCTTGCAGGCCTAATTTCCTGTCGTAGTGTTTGCTAACAGCAAACTGTCAGGAAATAAACCTAGATGGAAGCTGTTAACAGCAATACAAGTCTGATGAAATGGTTTATAGATGATGTGGCTTTTATGATGCATGATGATGGTAATATAATAATTGTGAATTTGTAAATGTCAGTCTGGGGGCTTTTCTGTTTCTGCAGCAGCTCCATTTTCCACTAATAAGGATGTTGTGCTTGTCTTTTTGAACAGATAAAAGTAACTAAAGATTATTTCCATGCTTCTGTGGATTATTTTCTTAATTAATCGATCAATTGGTAGGCCTATGAAATGTTAGCACAGCCCTCCATATGATGTTCCATATGGTCTGCCCAGGAACCAGTAGGAGACTTGTATGGTAGAGGTGCCCCAACATTTCTTTCCACCAATATTACAAATGACAACAGCGTGTGCCTGTTTCTAGGCAGATGGCTTTAGTTCTATTATCATACCTAGAGAGAACCAGCTGATCAGGAATGAAGTAATTATTCCCTGGAAACCAATCATACATGAAAACCAGTGCTGTCCCAGCAGTAGAGGCTACTAATGTACTACAATTCTCCAAAATCCAACTGGGACGATCAAGCTCACTCTGAAACCATGAAACCATTAACAAATTATCTAGTAAGATTTGCTTCAGCTAAGAATCAGAATCAGAAAAACTTTATTCATCCCGGCAGGGGAATTGCTTTGTTACAATTGCTCAACACACAGTTAGGAAAGGAGGAGGAGGAAGTCATTAGCACATAGTTCGAGTCTTCGGCCTCATCGTCTAAAAAGCATTACAAACACCAGCTGGAACATGGAATTTGTCAGCTGCAAAGATTAGTCAGTTAATCGATTAGTTGATCTGCAGAAAATTAATTAACTATTTTACTAACTGATGAATCATTTAAGTTCTTTTTTTGAGTAAAAAAAAAAAAAAAGCTTCCAGTTTCTAAGAAGTGACAATTTGCTGCTTTTCCTCATCTTAAAATTCTTATTTAAGTAAATTGACTGTCTCTGGGTAGCGGCACAGTAGAGCAGTGGTTAACACTGTCACCTCACCGGTTGGAGCCTCTCTGTGTGGAGTTTGCATGTTCTCCCTGTGCCTGCGTGGCTTCTCTCCAGGTACTCCAGACAAACCAAGACATTTGATGACATCATCTTAGGCAATGAGAAATAATGATCTGCGTTCTTCACTGTTTTCTGATGTATTATAGAGTTAATGACTGATTGAGATTATAATCTGCAGATTAATCGATTATGAAAATAATTGTAATCGCAGCCATAATTGATCTGTTGTTAATAAGTACTAACAACATAGTCCCATGAAACACAAATACCAGTGTGAGTTCTCATTTCAGTTAATTTTATAAGAGGAAATGTTTGCTTTAATTTAAACTGTGACTCAGCCATCAGAACTAGAGGTCGCGTGTGTGTGCTTCATAATGCACATTATCTGTTTGATT